GCAATCCATGATGTTATACTGTATATCCTGACAGATAAAAGAGAGCATGCTGCCTGCCGAGATGTCAACAAACATACATGATACATCTGGTCCACTGTACTCTCTTGGTCAGAAAAACACGCCAGTGGTCACGTACATATGTATGTCACAGTCATCTGGAAACTGGACAAACAATTGAATTTCACACTCACACACGTACACACACACCCACAGTCACTGAAGAAGATAATCATTTATTAACTAATGTTGATTCTCTTAAGTATAATGCCCAACTAAACAAAAACTTGGTCACTTTGAATGTGATGACTTTGACAAGAAATGACCTTGACAAGATATGACCTTGACACCCCCCACCCCTCCCAAGACACTGGTCCCAAGAACACCTGATGTGCTGATTTTAGAGTGATTTATATTTCATCGTGAGTCTACAGGAGATAGTATTAGCAATCAGTTCTCGCAAATTCGACCATCAGATTTTCGAGAAAAAACCTCAGCACTCGTGGTTAACGAATCAGTGCCAAGCGCTCATAACACCACTAATTAGAACTGTATTTGGAAAGAAAAAAAAGTATCTAAAAACTCCACCTGGGAATTATATTATACCAAAGCTAGGCACTATGTAGCCCACAAAAGACACAGGCAAAACAAAGCTGGTCCTTAATAACTTCGCTTTGTCCAGAATGTTCAAAGCAGGAAACCTGAACTCTCCAACAAAATGGGGAGCAATATTCCATTATGAGCTTTCAGCAGTTCTGTATGTTTCTCAGTACCATTAAAAAAGTAAAGTTATTCCCGCATTCGATCCAGACATTGGGGATTGCCTTGTTAGTGAGACAACTTCCAGGGCCTTTGGCATATTGTGGTAGGGTGGCCAGTTCCTTTCCACGCCACCTTTACTTCCCCAACTTGAAGTCAGTTATCCATTACTGCTGGGTGGGCAGGAGGGGGTGAAAAAAATGCGTGTCCGAACCGAGGCTCGAACTCAGATTTTCTGCTTCGGAGACGAGAGCACTAACCGCTCCACCACCGCACCCTCTCTCAGTAATGTAAGGAAGAAAAAAAACTCTAACTTGGGAATTTCCTCTATCTACGTAATAACAATCCAACATTTGTTGAGACAGTCCACACACCAAAAAAAATGTGTAATAGATCTTGACAACGATACCAAGGACATATTAAAAGACAGAAGCAGCAGTGGTGACCAAATGCAGTATCCGCAGTTGCTGAACCAAGACGTCAGCACCAAAGACAGAAGGCAGGAATAAATGGGAGAACTGTAGAGGGAAATCTCAATTCTTGTAAAGTTGTCATAAAATGCTGAATAAATCATAGAGCAACAGTGTGGATAAAATGAGTCAGTAAAAGCAACAAGCTTGCATAGAATCAAATAAAATACAATTCGCTTTAGATCTCTATCTTCACCTGTACACTTTCACTTTTCTTCATCACTACATATCTCTTTCTCTCTCTCTTTCATATTCTCTCCCTCTTTCATTCTCTCTCCCTCTCATTGTCTCTCTCTCCCTCTCATTGTCTCTCTCTCTCTCTCTCTCTCTCTCTCTCTTTCATTGTCTCCCTCTCTCTCTCTTCTTCAGGACACGGTATGTTATTCACAACGTACACATATAGTTATGAATGGCATATGTACATGCAGGTACGCTCTATTAAATGCTGCTGGTACCTCTGAGAATTGGACAAGCTACAGAAACAAACACTAAACACCAGACTTGTTCTACTTGAGCGCAACAGACTCTCCAATACACGACAACAAAATCTCACGGTAGATCATGTTAATGAAGACAGCTCTTTCCAGAAACAAATACACAGAAAGCATTAAGAGATCAACTACAGCTTGTCTCTCTACAGTTATACTTTATCAGTATACAAAATTTACAAAAGCTTTACCATTTGGGAAAGTGGTCCTCCTCCTTCTGTCCCTATTCCTCCTTCTCCTCCCTCTCTTCCCCCTTCTCTTCCTCCTTCTCTTCCCTCTCTTCCTCCTTCTTCTCCCTCTCTTCCTCCTCCTCTTCCCTCTCTTCCTCCTGATCTTCCCCCTCCTCTTCCCCCTTATCTTCCCCTTTCTCTTCCTCCTTCTCCTCCCTCCTTCCATCCTTACTCCTCCTCCTTCCATCTGCTACTCCTCCACCTTCTGTCCCTATTTCACCTACTCCTCTTCCTCCTTCCATCTTTATTTCTCCTTCTCCACTTCCTGTTCTTCTCCAACTCTTCCTCCCTTTTACTACACCAACTTCTCCCCACAAGCAAAGTTTTTCATCTTTAAATATCCACAGGTAGGACATTGACCTTTTTCATGTATGGTAGGCAATGAATGTCATGACATTTTGGCAAGATGTGCTACAGTTTGGTGTAAAAAAAATTTTTAAAAAATTTTAAAAGACAAAAATTTTTGAATACAATAAAGCAGCACAGCTGGTAAAGGTACTTGACTACTACTGTTCTGAAATCGGTCAATGCTAAAAAACATGAAATAAATACAAGTCATCACAACAAACGTTACGCATATATTTACAACATCGCAATTACTCATCAAGTCATTTCTGACCAAAAATCCAAAAAGTGTAATGTACAAAAGGATCTTTCAGCATGCATTTGACAAATATTCGCCACACCTCTTCCGTGAGTTTGAGTCACAGGTCCCACAATTAAGAGAAGATAAATATCTCTCTCTGTCTTCATTCATCTCCTTTATCAATCAGACTCATCATACAAAAACACGAGACATAATAATCTCCATCTGGTAGTAGCTAAAAGTAAAAGGCTGTTTTTCTGGGCCAAGCCCCCTCCCTTGTTGTTGTACGCTGCAGTCACATGATACACACACAATATTGCACTAGAGATGGTTTGTGAGGCATCGAGGGTGAAATCAGGTGCTCGTCAAAGTAATGAAATCGAAGACATCGGCATTTACCCAGCGGTTTGGCAACTTTAGTCAAAATTTTGTTTTTTGGCTCAACACCTTTTATGTCTTTTATAAATACATTTCTGTGAGGATTTTACTAAAAACCATCGATTAAACGCCCACAATTTTTCATTTTCAGTTTCAAGCTTTAGATAACACTAAACTTCAGCAACAATTTTTTCCAGATTTGAATTTTTGAAACCAGGTGACCCCCACCTCCTTCAATGGCAAATATCTCGACTTCTATTTAAGAGAGATGGGTATTTTTTTTTCACCGAAATCAATTCAAATGGATAAGCTTTGAGATGATACCAATAACTCCGCATGCCCCAAAATTGACGAGCGCCTGATTTCACCCCGATGCCCCTCGTTTGTTATAGTTGTTCGCTACAAGGCCACCCTCTACTTTCAGCAGAAGTCACAAGTACTGTAAAGCACATTCTCCTGCCAGGTAGGCTACCATTCCTGCCAGGTAGGCTACCATTCCGGTCAGGTAGGCTACCGTTCCGACCAGTTACAGTGGCTCGCTCACGAGGAAGTCTGTCTGAGTGAGGACGTCAACAATCAAGTGACGAATGAGGAGATGAAATGTGTAGGTCTGTCCCTGTGGTTTTATGCAACCCGCATAATTTAGCAAAATTTGATCATATTTTGCATAATTTCTGAATATTTTCCTTTATCATTCTTTGTTAAAATTAACAGAATCGCATAATTTCTCATTTTTGTGCTCAGTTTGCATAATTTCAGAATTTTCTTTTCATAAAACGACGGGGACAGGTAGGTTAATGGCTTGCTCTACATAACTGCAACTTTCATGTCTAGATTTTTATTTGATTTGTAAGAAAAACTAGCTGCTGCCCATAGTGCAGAGTGAATTTCCTATTCACGTCTGTAAGTGTTGGTATATCAGGGATTCACTTTGTACCGCCCCTAAACTGCCTGGGCTTGCTTTCGGTAGGAACAGTTTCCATTCAATATCTGCCCTTATAATAATAGAGGTAATGTGGTCTAGTCATGTCTCTATGTCATAACCCCTCCAAGTCATTTGAATGTTACTAGTCAAAGATATAATGACGCAATCATAACAGACAAATTATTTATCAGTGGCATTAGGAGGAGACAACAGTGTGACCACACTTTTAACTCATCCACAACTGCCAACATTAGACTACATCAATCCACAGATCCTCTCTGTTTCAGATTTTTAAAACTTCAAGGCAGTCTGTCTCATTGCGAGGTAAGTTTGACTGAAACACTGTGTTAACATGAAGGAGTTACAATAGCCTAGGTGATGATGACCAAGATTATCTGACCTTACTAAAATGATAAAGTCAGAACTATTGGGATTTAAAGGATGCCAGTAAGTTAAAAATGAACACAGGACACATGGCAATAAAGCTTTTGTTAGAATAGTCCTGAAGGTCGTAGACATTTTATGTGAGATTATTCCTTCAAAATGACCGATGATGATAATTCTTCATTTAATGCATTGTACAAGACAGCGGAAACAACATTCCAATACTGCATTCTATACCAAGAGAGACTTGACTGACTCCTCCCCTTCAGTAAAAAAAACCTCTGTATACAGACTTCAACAAAAGTTAGGGACCACTTGAAAACACTCTGAGTGGTCTTCTTGGGTTGACCTGCACGTGGGCTTTCTTGGACCGATCCAGTGGAGCTGCCTCAAGCGGACAATGACAGAGTATGACACTGCGAGCCTTCTGGCAACTTCTCGGGCTCAACTCCATCCTCCAGCCATGCCATAGCTCTGGCATGATCAAAGTCTCCCAGTTCATGGTATGTAGATGTGATACCGGATTTTGCTCAAGCGGCCGCTTATATTGCCACCAAAGTGAGCACAGGTCGAGACCGTACGTCCATTTATGAAGTGCACCAGAAATTTTAACTGAGGAAAGTCCTTGGTGTCCCACACAAGTCGATAAAAAACAGCAAATTGGGCTAAAATTCCCCCCGAGGATTTCCGTGCTGCACGAGGTGGTTTTGGTCCTTTAGGAGGCTTTGCAGTACGTGTTGGTAACCCATTAACACTTTCCGAGCAAAAATTTTGAAACATTTCTTGCTGTCTTTTTTTCCGCATATTTTTAAAAATAATAGGACTGTCTGTCAAAGTGGTCCTTAACTTTTGTTTCAACTGTATGAGAGTGAGAGAGCATCCTCTGTAATACTATGAGATTATGATTCCAGCGCTGACGACAGCTTCTTCTAGTCACTCAGAGCCTTGTAGTCCTCGGCACCTCCCACCTCCACAGGCGTTGTCAAGGGCTGCGACTCTGTACCAGCCTCAGCCTCTTCCCCGGCGGTGTAGGTCGCTAGCTGCTCCATCAGCTGGACAAAACTAGGGCGTTCGCCAGGGGACCCAGACCAACAATTGGTCATGATCTGATAGCTGAAAGGACAGAAAGGGCGTTGAAAGATCACAATAGTTTCAGAATTACTTCAATGTTGAATGAGTCTTTTTAGTTTTAGTAAGAGTTTTACGGCACTTGTAACACAATAAGGTCATATAAGTGCCAAAGATTAGAGGTGTTACAAGAGAGTAACAAACATAAAAAAGAAGGAGAGAAGACAAAGACGATAGATGTTTGATAGGAAAGAAGGAGCAAACCACCCAAACACAAAGACAGTGTAGGGTTAATTAAGCACCTAAAACTGGTGGTTCTGTGTAGGGTTAATTAAGCACCTAAAACTGGTGGTTCTGTGTAGGGTTAATTAAGCACCTAAAACTGGTGGTTCTGTGTAGGGTTAATTAAGCACCTAAAACTGGTGGTTCTGTGTAGGGTTAATTAAGCACCTAAAACTGGTGGTTCTGTGTAGGGTTAATTAAGCACCTAAAACTGGTGGTTCTGTGTAGGGTTAATTAAGCAAGGATTCGTTAACTTGAGTAAAGAAAGGCTCACTGACACCATAATGGTGAGAGAGAGAGAATGAATGTTTTACGGAGCGGGTTGTCCCAGCCCATGAGACATGTATTTACTTGGCCTAATGTCCTGTCTTGTGCGTTTGCCTGAGTGCACCTTTAAATCTAACTTTTGTAACATCTACTGCCATTGTTAACGACCAAGACAAATTTCTCCCTGCGAGATGAATAAAGATTGTCATTGTCATTTCCTTAGTGCATGGAAAAAAGAAAAACAGGCAGAAATGAATGAAGGAAAATTTGAAGGCTTTACTAATGGTGCCCTACCCACCGGAGAAAGCAATACATGCAGTCAAACACAAAAAACCCATAGTAAACACATGGACTTACTGCTGCAACAGCACTAAACATGACACAAGATACCCATAGTAAACACATGGACTTATTGCTGCAACAGCACTAAACATGACCACAAGATACCCAACACTTCTCAAAGGAATGAGTTTCAGAACAAAACTGACAGACAAAGACATATGGTCGCTTTTAAGCACAAGGGGGCTATCCTGAAAAAGGCTGTTTTGAGAAAATCCAAGGTAAAAGTTTTTGCCCCAGTTCAGTTTCTTTAAAAGACAAGGAGAGTTTTCTCTACAACCAAACAAAAATACACACCAATGAAACCAAACCTCTCCTATAGGTACGGAAATGCCCATTTCTGGAAACCCCTGAAATTTTGGGTAGCCCGCTAGTCCTTAAAAGCGACCATATTATGGAAATATACAAATAATAGACAGACATATTTTTATATAAAAAGACAAAGAGAACAAGATAAAGAGAGATAGACAGACCTATAGAGAGAATGGTGGGGGTTGTATAACGTACACAGTTAAGTAGTTATGGACAACTAAAAATTTACATAAATTGTTTTTATGTATGACTTGTGTTCATGTACCACATACAGCTTGGGCTGCAGAAGCGTTGGTTTTTGGGGGGTTTTCAGTAGTAAGTAGTAGGATTTTACGGCACTTGCAACACAATAAGGTCATAAAAGTGATTAGAGATGCTTTAAGAGTAACATATAAAAAGAAAGAGGAGAGACCAGAACGACGGATCATGTTTGTAGGAAAGAAGGGGCTAATCACACTATATGGATAGATAGGTAGATAGATAGATGGATGGATGGATGGATGGATGGATGGATGGATGGATGGATGGATGGATAGATAGATAGATAGATAAAACAATCATCAAACTTCATCAAAAGGAAACTTACACATCCTCCGGACTCTGTCTGGGCTTGGGCAGTCTCTTGCCCTCCTTGACCTCTGCAATGACCTGGCTCGGCTCTGTGCCAGGGTATGGCTCCACTCCACGGGTCAGCACCTCCCACATGACCACTCCGAACGACCACTGAGACGAAAACGGTAAACCAACATATTAATCTATGTAATAATATATATAATTTCAAAATACTAAATTTTAAAAATAAATGAATAAATGATATTAATAATAATAATAATAACAACAATGATAACAATAATGATAATAATAACAACAATATTAATAATAATAATAATAATAATAATAATAAAATTCCTAAGTTGGTGACCACTCCAAACGACCACTGAGAAGAAAACAGTCAACTACAATGTAGTAATAATAATAAAATTTTTAAAAGATAAATTTAAAAAATACTATCAAAAGTTTTTCTTCCACCATTACCACCTATCATTTTCACTCTAACAGAACATTACGTGAACATTACAACTGAAGCAGACATGAATGTTCTATTCCATGGCACCAGGAAGAAAGGAGAAAGCTCAACAGCTACAGAACCAAATATAACTATAAAAACATCACAGGTTGAAGTTTACTAGATCTGTCCCTCTACTTAAATAAAAATAATAAATAATAAATCAATTATAATTTTACTGATCCCAGAATGGCAATTTGGTTTACAATGGCAAACATACATTCTACATATATAAATACACAATTATAAATATATACACACTTTAATGTGAAGGGTGCTGACAAAATGAGTTGCTTCTCGGATTCAAGCCTTATTGAAATAGATACATCACGTTTATTAAAGTTGAATTTTTACAGTTTAGAAGTATGAAATAATAAAAAGCACCTTATATTCAAAGAATATGGCATCAATAGAAAATTTACAAATTTGACCTTACAGTCGATTTTTGGCCAATATCTCCATTTGTGGATTGTGAGAAGTAACTTATTTTGTCAGCACGTCTCACAAATACATACACATATAGATACATAAAAGCACAATATAATATTACACTAATACAGAACATGCCATTGCTGGTCGCCACTGTGCAGCGGTCTGTTTGTTGAGCTATAGTTGTCGTGTCTTGCTCAAAGACACACCCCCAGTGACCACCCATATGATCCCTGTGTCACCTACGCTTGCTTGACTTCACTCTTGAGTCTAAACCCACTACTCACTTAGCCTCTCTCCTCTCCTCTTTTTTCTCTTCCATCCCCCACCCCCTCCCCCACCCCATCAATCCACACAATTCTTACAAACAAGAATCAAGGGAGAAAATGTTAATTTAAAGTAAGTATCAAACTCAGTGAAATGGAGCCTAGCATCATCTAACAATGAATACAACAGCCTAATCACCTGGTCATCAAGAACACTCATGATAAATGACACTAAAAGACACGCCCTCTCCTCCCCCCCCCCCACCCCACCAACGACCTCTCCCCCATCCCCCCTAACCCCATCCACGACCTCCCCCCTCCCGCCCCCTCACCCCAACCCACCCCACCCCCTAATTCTGGACAAGTAGTACCAGTACCCAGACTTACCACATCTGACTGGGAGGAGAAGGTGAAATCTTCCACGGTCTCTGGGGCCATCCATCTGACCAGGTCAGAAGCTGTCCCATCCTCAGCAACGTAGAACTCCTTAGGGAACAGGCCGCCCGTGACCACATAGTCGGTCAGCTTGATGGAAGCTGGCTTGCCGTCTTCTTCCAGTATTCTGAAACAAGGACAAGCGTAGAGAAAGATATTCAAAGAAGTTTTGTACCATCTAGCATAAGGCTTTGATGTGGAATCCACAAAGAAAATGCAAGAAAGGAAGACCAAAGATGACATGGAGGCGAGCTGTACAAGTGGAAACGGAAAAGGCGGGGACATCATGGAAACAGCTAGAAAAGGATGCACAGGACAGGCTTCGCTGGAGTAATGTTGTTGATGGCCCATGCTCCACTGGCAGTTAAAAAGGGCAAGAGAGAGAGCATAAGGCTACTGTCAGAATAAGCATAAATGTGTATTACTCTTTAGAGTGTGTATCTATATAACTCCAAAGGTCTTGTAATTAAATTCCTGCACGTGGTTGAATGATACATCTGATGTGATATTAGGCTACATTCTGTTAGCTTTACTTCTCTTTTCATATTGAAATTTAATGAGAGTAATATATAATTTAAAAATTTTTTGTATACCTGCAAGTGTTTTTACGGTCCTGTACAGCCAAGAAAAATTTCCCTCTGGGATAATAAAGTATTATCTTTTCTTATTTTATCTTATGATGAAATAGAAGGCAAACTAATGTGAAGGGTGCTGACAAAATGAATAACTTCTCGAAATAGCTATAGAATATCACGCTTATAGGTGAAGTTTTTACAATTTATAAGTATGAAATAACAAATGGCTTAATATACCTCTAAAGAATAAAGCATCAATAGAAAATCTACAAATTTGACCCAAGAGGCCGGAGGAATTGGGATTACGCAAACTCGGTGCTTTCTTGTCGTATCTCCATTATTTTAAACAGCGAAAATGTGACTTCTTCTCAAGCTCACTCTTTGTTATGAACTGTTTTCACTGTTATTAAAAAAGGAGATATGACAAGAAAGCGCTGAGGTCGTGATTAGAAGAAGAAGAACAATAAAAGGAAGAAAAATGGCGGCATGGGAAGGAGAAAGAGGGCCACAGACAGACAGCAACTTAGGGGGCTCTCGTGGCCTAGAGGTTAAGGTGTTCGTTTGCCTCTCATTCAAAGGTCCTGGGTTTTCGAATCCGGGTACTGACCGAAAAAATTTTTTTTCTAAAATTGTCTCCCTTCCTGCTCTCTAGCAATGTTCTGTCGTCTGCTTTCATCTCCACTTTCTGCCCCCACCCCCTCACTTCCCTTGTCCCCTCCTTTGGGCTCCTGACTCTTTCTGCAGCCTTTCTACCGCTACTCCTCGGCTCTTTCTTACTGCTGTCTTTCTCGGAGGTCCCGTGAGCAAGTCTCGATCGTTAAAGATCCCTTGGTGAACTAAAATCGATAAAAGTAGGCTGTGGCCGCCACCAGGGCAAAATTCAAAATTTCCTACCAACTGAAAAATGTTTAATGTGTCCTGCACGCTTATTTGACATTATGCAGTTGCGAGCCCCATAAATAAAAAAAATAAAAAAATAAAAATTTTTTTTAAAAAGACAGTAACTTACATGCAGTTGCAAGCGCCGTAAAACACACACACACAAAAAAAAAACCCAGCAACTTACATGCAGTTGCGAGCAGCCAAGTTGCGGTGGACGATCCTCAGGTTCTCCAGGTAAGCCATGGCATCTGAGATCTGGTGGCAGTAGGTCAGCAGCTCACACAGACTCAGCATCTGTTAACGACACACAGAGACATAGTCAGTTATTGTTTTCTCTTAAACCCTATCCGTACGCCCTGGGGTCATTTTGTACTCCCGGGGTTGTATTCTTCACATTTTTAAATACTTCTAGTGCGAAGATCTCTTTGAAACTTTCAGTATTTCTCCCGTACGGATCAGATTAACGAGTAAATTTCCTCTTTGGAAAGTGAAGGCACACAGTTCCCAACGTTGTATAGATACGATAGAAAACACGACGTAAGGAAAAGGTTAAACCCACTGCCCATTGGCACTGTTCAGTTCGGTTCAGTTTGGTGGGCGGGGCTCATTTCGTAACGATGTGTAAGTGTGCGCGTGTGATAAGCAAGTAGATGTGTGTGTGCGTGTGTCTGTGTGTTTAGCGAGCATGTGTGTGCACATGTGTGCCTGAGAGCGTGTGTGTGTGAGGTTGTGTGCGTATGTGTGTGTGTAAGCGCGTGTGTGTCGCGTGCGTGAATATTGTTCGTACATGTATTTATGATAAGCGCCTAGAGCTGTGTTTACGTGGGTATGGGCGCTATAGAAATTATCTTCACTATTATTATTATTAATATTAGCCAGATTGAGGGCACAAACCAATCTCTTGACTTACGGCCTAAAAAACACTTTGACAGTTTTGTTTGTATGTTAGAGTAAAGAAAAGCACACTCAAACAATGGGTTTTTTTAAAGCAAAGAAAAGGAAAGATTCACTGACAGAAATAAAGAAATAACTGAAGGACAAAATAGAAGTAGGACCTACCAGTGGTGTCCCGCCGTTCCCCCCCTCCCCCCCCTCCCCCCCCCTCCCCCCGACCGCCCAACCACACACATAAATAGTGTAATGGCCATTTAGTGCAGAGAGCAAGCAAGACAGAAAAACAAAGCGAAAGCGAAGAACTCCTTATGTTTGGAAGATTATAGCTAGTGTTGCAGACTATTAAATGAATATCGGTATTATTCATAATAATCATAATAATAATAATAGATAGCATTTATATAGTGCCAATCCCTGCTCAACAGCAAGCTCTATGTGCTTCACAATCTAAACTATTACCCCAGCAGACCTGACAGCATTCTGAACAAACTCAACTTCCTGGGAAGCATACAGTGCAAGCAGCAGAATAAGCGCTCAAACAGAAACATAGTGACAAGATCTTTCGCTGTCTATGACTGGGTAACATTCCCACCTGGGTGAAGTGAGGAAAATTCGTGTAAAGTGCCTTTCCCAAGGACGCAACATCGGGCCCGCGGCTCGAACCTCCGAACCCGCAACCTCACGATTACAAGTCCGATAGCCTAACTACTATCAACAAACATCTATCGTCCTTATCTCTCCTCTTTCTTTCCCATCAAACATCTATCGTCCTTATCTCTCCTATTTCTTTCTTATCAAACATCTATCGTCCTTATCTCTCCTCTTTCTTTCCTATCAAACATCTCAACAGCGCTCAGAAATCCTCCTCACCTTTGCCGGTTCACGAACGTATGAACCCAGGTCCTCGGTGGCCATGAATGGAGTGACTACAATGGGGTCATCGCTGGGGCTGACCACGGCGCCAACCACACGCAGAAGGTGGGGATGACTTAGGTCTCTGGCCATGGCCACGTCCTGCAGGAACTGCTGTAGAGCCTCGGCCTCCGACCGTTGAGCTGGAAGTCATTGGAGAAATATATATACACTTTACTTTGACCTTTTAGCCTACTGATCCCACGATCAATGGTTAAATGCTCATTATAAACTGAGACGGTTGTTTTTTAGTTTTAGTAAGAGTTTTATGGCACTTGCAACACAATAAGGTCATATAGGTGCCGAAGATTAGAGGTGTTACAAGAGAGTAACAAACACAAAAAAGAAGGAGGGGAGATAATGACGGTATATTTTTTTTACAGGAAAGAAGGAGCAAACCACACCAGAGCACCCACCAACCACCCACTGAGACAGTTGAAACAAGACAATGTTTTAGAATGGGGAAAAAATATCCCAGTTATAATATATATGTGAAGCATTCTGACGAAATGAGTTACTTCTTGGATTTTAGCCCTATGGAAATAGATACATCACGCCTATAGGTGAAGTTTTTACAGTTTATAAGTATGAAATAATGAAAGGCATGTTATACTAAAAGAATATGGCATCAATAGAAAATCTACAAATTTGATCCTAGTGTCGATTTTTAGCCTATATCTCCATTTGAGGTTTGCGAGAAGCATGCCCCACATACATTTAAGTCAAAATTGTTCAAGATTGCTCCACATTGTTGAGGAAAAACAAAGTGATTGTCTTAGACAGATGAACGTCTTGGACAGTGTCTTTGTAATTTTTTAAAAAATATATGTGAGGCGTGCTGACAAAATGAGTTACTTCTCAGATTTTAGCCCAATGGACATAGTTACGTCAAATTTATCGGTTGAGTTTGTACAATGTATTTGTATGAAATGATAAAAGAAATGTTAGACTTGAAGAAAATGGTATCCGTTAATGATCTAAAAATGTGACCCCTATGTCGATTTTTGTCCCCTATCTCCATTCGGGGACTGCGAGAAGTAACTCATTTTGTCAGCACTCTTCACATATATAAGGAGGGCAATGAGAAGTGGTCATTTGTACAGGGCACTGTCTTGGACAGGTGATGATTAACACTTTGCCGTCACATCCCGACGATCGACGATGTTTACCACCCAGTTTCTTTGGATTTTCCCCAAAATGCCTTTGCTTTTAATAGCAAAGGCTTTTACTGTATGAGCCTTGTGATGGCAAAGTGTTAACCCATTTCCACCTGAGTTGCCCCCCTGAGCAGACACACCCACCTGGACTGCCTCCAGCCACACCCACAAATCTAGGTACCCACACTACAACTGCAAAAACTTTCCTTCCAAACAGCTACAAAATTAGTGGACAATAAGCTTACGGAAGTGCACGAACGGTAACTCTAAAGTTGTTTTTTTTTAACTTGGAAACAATGGACTGGAGAAAGATTTATAGAGACAAAGAGAGATTCAGATTTTCTTGTAGTCAGGTGACTGCCAGGATACAAGAGTTCTCGTAAGTTGTCAGCAATGAGTTAAAGCAGGATCAACCATTGCAAGCAAACTGTAAAAAATCCACAAAGTGAATCTAAGAAAGTGGCATTATTTACTACCAAGAATAGAATCACAAAGATCTCATACCTTGTAATGTTTTCACAGCCACGTCGGCCATCTTGTCTGGCTCCGTGTGTTTGTACACCGCTTTGTACACGACTCCAAAGTGGCCTAGGGACACAGCAAGACAGAACTTTGTCATTAGGACGTGACACGCTGTTAGAGAGTGATATACTGAGAGAAAGAGAGTTTCACTATTTATACCATGGATGCAAGACAGAACTTTGTCATTAGGACGTGACACGCTGTTATGTATGTATGTATAGTATAAGGTTTTACGGCGCTCGCAACTGCTAAGGTCATATGAGCGCGCGAAACACAAGTTCTTCACCTTTGCAAAAGTTCACTTCACGACTGGTTAACTAATTGACTTTAAAATGCTAAAAAGTTAAAATATTTAAATTCAGTGTAAATACATTTGTGATTTAAAACAACTCTTTTAAGTAACAATAAATATTTTAAATAATATCAAATTCACTCTACAACTCGCCATAAAGGCCAATGGCCTTTATAAAATTTAAAATTCTGCTGGGAACAACGACGGGACAAGCTGTTAGAGAGTGATATACTGAGAGAAAGAGAGTTTCACTAATTATACCATGGATGCAAAAGGGAATAGGAAGTCATTTTATTTTAGTAAGGTTTTTTTAGTTTTAGTAAGAGTTTTATGGCACTTGCAACACAGTAAGGTCATATGAGCACCAGAAGATTAGAGGTTCTACAAGAGAGTAACAAAACATAAAAAAAGAAGAAGCGGAGATAAGGACGTTAGATGTTTGATAGGAAAGAAAAAGAAAACCACACCAGAGCACCCGCCAACCACCCACAGCAAAAAATAATTTTGTTATTAGGACGTGATAAGCTGCTAAACAGTGATATACTGCCAGATTTTGTTTTAGTAGAGGTTTTACGGCGCTTGCAACTGGAACAAGGTCATATAAGTGCCGAAGATTACAGGTGATACAAGAGAGTAACAATCATAAAAAAGAAGAACGACGATAGATGTTTGATAGGAAAGAAGAAGCAAACCACACCAGAGCACCCGCCAAACACCCACAGTGAGTTTCACTATTCCTACCACAGATGCAAACGGGAACAGGAAGCCATTTATTTATTGTAAGGTTTTATGGCACTCGCAGCTGCATAAGGTCATATGAGTGCCAAGGGTTGGATATCAACAGAAGTTCAAACAGGGAATCAGGCTTACTCTGCTCACCTCTCTAGCCTCAACAGCACAAAGTTTGCTTTGACTATCAAGGCACACCGGAAAGAGTTCACAAGAGAGTGACAAACATACAAAAGAAGTAGAGGAATATGAACGATAGTATGGATGAGGAAAGAAAAAGCAGCAGTTTCCTCTATGTTGTTCCGGCACAGTATGAGCATGACAGTGATGAATCAGCCCATTTACAATTCTACTGTGAATAAGAACATGTTAATATTCCCCCTTTGGGAACGACCTAAAGACACTTCAGTCAGTGGCACTGCACCCTCCTGTGTGTTTATTCTAAGATTAACAGCCTATTTCAAAATCCAAAATGCTGCACATTTTGTTGTAGCTACTAAGCACAAAAGCGCCAGATGACAAAATTGAGCAGGGTTCAAAAGAAAACAAAAAACAAAAGCTCTGTTCCGAGTTCTTACCTTGTCCGACTACATCACCGATGTCCAGTTTCTTGCGAGAGATGATGGCAGCGGCGAGATTCTGCTTCAGCACAGGTTCTTCAAACTTGGCCAGAAGTTCATTGATGTACGGAGTGGAATCTGTGAAGTAAAGATGATTTAGTAGATGTTTAGTTTAGTTTTAGTAGAGGCTTTACGCTGCTCGCAACTGCATAAGGTCATATGAGCACCAGGAGATTAGAGGTGTTACAAGAGAGAAACAAACATAAGAAAGAAGAAGGGGAGATAAGGATCAGTAGAGGTTTTACAGGGCTCGCAACTGCATAAGGTCATATGAGCGTCAAGGGATGGATATCGACAGAGAAGTCCTTACAGGGAATCAGACTTACTCTGCTCACCTGTCTAGGCTCAACAACACAAAGTCTGCTTCGATTATCAAGGCACCCCGGAAATAGCGGCTCATAAGAGTGTGACAAACATATAAAAGAAGTAGAGGAAAAATGACGATAGTATGGATTAGAAAAGAAAAAGCAGCAGTTCCCTAGGTAAAGTTTGAGCATGACATCGATGAATCAGCCCACTTACAATTCTACTGTGCATAAGAACAGGTTAATATCCCCCCTCTGGAAATGGCCTAAAGACACTTCAGTCAGTAGCACTACCCCGGTGGGTATGACATAAGGATGAACATAGTGAACAGATTAATTAAATAATTTCCTTCTTTTTTTAAATATTTTAAATGGTCACTAACAAATGGCTTGTTTTTTCTTAGTTTTAATCAAAGTTAAATGGCACTTGCAACACAATTAGGTCAAATATGTGCTGACGATTAGAAGTGGTACAAGAGAGTAACCAACACAAAAAAAGGAGATAGGAGAGACGTGCTGACAAAATGAGTTACTTCTCGCAATCAACAAATGGAGATATTGGCCAAAATTCGACACTAGGGTCAAATTTGTAGATTTTCTATGCTCACATAGCATATTGATGGCATATTCTTTAAGTATAACACGCTTTTTATTATTTCATACTTCTAAACTGCAAAAACTTCACCTATATTATAATAAGCGTGATGTATCTATTTCAATAAGGCTAGAATCCGAGAAGCATTTTGTCAGCACTCTTCACATATAAGGACAATAGATGTTCGATAGGAAAAAAGGGTCGAACAACATCAGAGCACGCACCATGGACAGACCAAGTATTCATTTTTCCATTGACGGAGGAGCTATTATTATTATTATTATTATTATTTTATCATTATTATTAGTGATATACAGTGAGCTCTTTTCTCTGCGTAATGAATGCACCTGACTGTACTCATAGACCTTCTTGAAAACATAGACCTTCACGTTGTATCTGCACGACCAGTTGTGAGGAAAAACTAGACAGGTCAGGGAACAAAATATCAAATAGAATTCAAAATCATGCATCTCTATTCATCTCTCCCTCTCTTTCTCTCTCACTCTCACTCATGCACGCTCGCACGCACGCACACACACATGCACACACACACACACACACACACATGCACGCACGCATGCATGCACACACACACACGCACACCAATGCAGCCCCCAATTCTCACCAGAATTCTTGTCCAGTTGTCCACCGTTCATGTCCACTTTCACAGGGACATTATCCATACCAATCATCTCCTCCTCTCCTTCTTTCTTGCCCTCGTAATCTTTCAAGACATCAGGGATAAAGTTCTGGTCAGGCTGTAAGAGAGTACAAAAATTTGGGTCACGAAGCGGTGGAATCAGGCACTCATATCAATTTTTGGGCATGTGGAGTTATTGGTATCATCTAAAAGCTTATTCATTTGTCTTGCTTTCAATTGAAAAAAAACACAACCTATCTATCTTGAATAAAAGTCGAGATATTTGCAATTGAATGAGGTAGGAGTCGCCTGGTTTCAAAAGTAAAAATAGCGAGAAAATGGCCCCCAAAGTTTGGTGACTTCCATAGCTCAAGAGTCCTAGGAAACTCTTAAATTTACATTTTTCGTGCCTTTAATCAACGTTTTTCCATAAAATCCACACATAATGTTTCTGAATGGACATACAAGGTGTTGAGCCAAAACACAACATTTAAAAAAAAAATCCAAACTGGCCAAAAAATAACGATTTCTTTGATTTCATTATTTTGACGAGCGCCTGATTTCACCACAGTGCCTCACATATCGCGACTTCAGTGCTTTCTTGTCCCATCTCCATTTTTAATTACAGCGAAAACAGTTCATAACAAAGAGTGAGCTTAAGAAGAAGTCACATTTTCAATGTTTTAGAAAATGGAGATAGGACAAGAAAGAACTGAGGTCGCGATATGTATACAAAGTCCACAAAACATGCAGAAACTATTCTAATCTTATGTACACAGAAATACACCTTTCATGGTAGCTTGCAACATTAGAAAACATAGAAACACATTAATATGGAACACCCCAATAAAAGTTAGTTTAGGAGTTTTACGGCACTTGCAACACAATAAGGTCATATAAGTGCCGAAGATTAAAGGTGTTACAAAAGAGTAACAAACACAAAAAAGAAGGAGGAGAGATCAAAGATGGAGAAAACCCTACCAGAGCATCCTCCAACCTCTCATGTACTTTGTCTTTGCTTTTTTAATTTTAGTAAGAGTTTTACGGCACTCGCAACACAATAAGGTCATATAGGCGTTACAAGAGAGTAACAAACAGATCAGGATGATAGATGCTTGACAGGAAAGACAGAGCAAACCACATCAGAGCATCCTCCAACCTCTCACGTACCTTGTGTTTGCGATGCCTCCTCAAGACACAGATGGTGAGAAGGATGACGATGAACAGGATGGGAAGGACCACTCCGAGGATCACGCCCAGCGCGATGGGCTTGCTAGAGTCAGCGGGGGAGTAGTAGCGTAGATAACCCGGCACAGATTCCATGTTGCCAATCTGGACCTGGAGTAAGAATAAATCATTGTGTACACAAGTAACGAGATTTCCTCGAGGAACAATCGGATGAGAAAGAGTAAGGGGACAGAGCCTTGGTCGACTCACTGCAGGAAACATGAAGCAGAACACGGCACTACACCACAAAGTTAAAACGACATAATAAATGATAAACGAAAACTCTTACTGTGGTTGTTGAGTATTTAATTTCAATAAATGTAGTACATTGTACTTTTCCTGCAGTGAGTCGACCAAGGCTCTGTCCCCTTACCCTTTCTCGTCCGATTGTTCCTCGATTGTCCCTCGATTGTCCCGCAGAAAGCCGTGACTGGCTGATTATATACACTTTCCTGAACTCCTCTATGCAAGAACCCCTCCATGCACGAGATATCCGTGCGACTCCGCATGGGAACCCGTGCCGCGAGGAAATCTCGTTACTTGTGTACACAAGAGATAGCATTTGTATAGCGCAAATTCCCACTCGTCACTAACCCACAGATCACCAGGGTATGTCCTGTCCACAGTGCTGTTAGCAAAGTACAGTGGAACTTTCAAAATAATGGATAACATTTGTGAAGAGTGTTGACAAAATGAGTTGTTTCTCTGATTCAAGTCTTATTGAAATAGATACATCACGCTTATTGGTGAAGTTTTAACAGTTTAGAAGTATGAAATAATAAAAAGCATGTTATATTTAAAGAATATGGCATAAACAGAAAATCTACAAATCTGACCCTAGTGTCTATTTTTGGCCAATATCTCCATTTGTGGATTGTGAAAAGTAACTCATTTTGTCAGCACGTCTCACATTTGTATAGCACAAATCCCCACTTACCACTGACCCACAGACCACTAGGGTATGTCCTGTCCACAGTGGAGCCAGTAAAGTACAGAGGAGCTTTTATAATAATAGATAGCATTTGTATAGCGCAAATCCCCGCTCAACAGCAAACTCTAAGCGCTTCACAGAACCCCAGAACTGCGTCAGGCCAGAGAAGTTCATTACAGTCACTCTCCTAGTTGGGTGACCAGATGGGGTATTTCCAGCTACTGACTGTGTGACTGCAAAGTATTCACAGTCATTCTTCATGAAGTTCACAAAATACCTAACTATTAACAGAACAGGTTATTTTGAAATGAGGACTTCATCACCTGTAACAATATCTAACATAAGGCAATTTCCAAATCCCAAAGAGAGCAAAAACAAAGATTCTTATTTGATTTCCTCACAAAAGTTGTAAATATTCAATAGAAATCAGTGGTTAGCAAATTCCATTGTTGTATTTAACTCATTGACTTCTCTTCTCAAGCCTCAAAACTTCTGCTTCGATATCCTACCTTTCCCGCAGCTCCGGCCATTTCTGAGTCCAGAAATTCTATTTTACCGCTTTATTACCGTAGCAATATTGGTGACTCTTTGTCCGTTAGTTTCGTCACAAAATAACATACGAATAGGCCCTCCAACGACCTGCTTTAGTAGTAGTAATAATAATAATAATAATAAATGAAATTTATATAGCCCCCAACCCGATTAAAGTACACAGGCTCAGAGCGCTTTACAATACAATACAAAGTACCACAGTAACATAAAACATTGTGTTCTGCCTAAAAGAAAATCACTCCAAATATTCATCTTCTTAATAAGCATAAGAGTAAACACAATAAACAATTAATCAACTTACAGTAACGGGTGCTTTGCCAGTGGAGTCTGTCCCATCTGGTGTGCTTGCGGGAGGCTCGCAGGTGATGGCAGAATCACTCGCAGAAATCTGGTCACACAGCTCCTCTCCAACATACACGTGCACACTAGCCATCAGAACGTTCACCATACGGAAGCGACCCTGTGAAGAAAGAAGTAGAATCACAGGTCAGTCTTTTCTCCTTATTCTGCATTCTTTCTCTTTTAGTTTCCGTACGAGTTTTACGGCACTTGAGACACAATAAGGTCATATAAGTGCCGAAGATAAGAGGTGTTACAAGAGAGTAACAAACATAAAAAAGAAGGAGGAAAGATAAAGACGATAGATGTTTGATAGGAAAGAAAAAGTAAACCACACCAGAGCACCCACCAACCCCCCACTTCTTTCTCTTGACAGTACTCAAGGCTAGCCTGGAGTAAATTCTTTCCCCCAAAGAACAGTTTATTTTTAAACACACGGTCAATTTTCGAACAAGAGCCTAGTGACTCTCACCTTTCAAGTGGCTGAAGATCCTTCTCAAAAGTACTTTTATTCATTATACTGGGATCCCATGTTTTATTTTGGAGTATATATTGTTTCAGGATGCAACTTTATTATTTTTAAAAGCAAAATGTTCGACATCAGGATCCAGTAGACCACATTCTGTAAGAAAATTAGGGAGCCTATAATCAATTATTACCCGAGACCAATAGCATAATAATAATAATAATAATAATAATAATAACAACAATAATTATAATAATAATGCAGATCATTTCTATAGCGCCCACTCCCGTGTGAACACAGCTCTAGGCGCTTTACATAAATGCATATACGAACAATATTCACATGCACACACACATACGCACACATTGCACGTGCACACACACACACACACACACACACATCTACCTGCTTATCACACACGCACGCTTACACATCGTTACCAAATGAGCACATACAAACATATACCGGCAATAAAATAATATACACAACGCAATTCACAAAACACATAAAGGAGTACCTGGATGGAAAGCAAGTCACTTTCTTGGAACTGTTTGGTGCGCTCCTCTTCAGAGAAAAGGGCGACATACGGGTCTGGGAAGTACAGCATCGGTCCAAACGAGGCTTCGTGGGAGACGTTCTTCAGAGCCCCCACGCCCGCCATGTTGAACCCATAATGCACCTCTAAGGGACTGGTCTCCGTCACATTCACAGCCGGTGCCTTGATCGCGGGGACCTGGCATTCCATGATGTTCACACTCATCACTTCACAGTCCTGTGAGAGAACAATATATATCAGCCATAGAAACAAGAATAAGCCACAGTTTACAGCATAGAGACAAGAAGATTTATGTTAAAAATAGAACCTGAGCTTATTTTAAATTCTAACAAATTAAAATACAAAGTCAGTGACAATTATATAGATGCTTTCTAACCTTTAAAAACTTATACGACTTGAAAATCGAGAATGCTTGGTCAAAATCACAAGATTTCATAAACTGCTGGAAAATGACAGACGTGCTGACAAAATGAGTTACTTTTCACAATCCACAAGTGGAGACTATTGGCCAAAAATCGACTCTATGGTCAAATTTGTAGATTTTCTACTGATGCCATATTCTTTAAACACAACATGCTTTTTATCATTTCATACTTCTAAACTGTAAAAACTTCACCTATAATAAGTGTGATGCATCTATTTCGATAAGGCTTGAATCCTAGAAGCATCTCATTTTGTCAGCACCCTTCACAAATAGAACTGAGCTAACGTGAAATTTTGCAAATTAAAATACTACGTCAGTGACAATTATATTGATGCTTCTTAACCTTTCAAAACCTCTACCACTTGAAAATCTAAAACACTTGGTCAAAATCACAAGATTTCATAAACTGCTGGAAAATGGCACATAAGTATACGCGTACTATGAGTCACCCAGTAGAAAAGGTGGGTGGTGGGTGAAAAGGTGGGTGGATGGGTGGATGGATGGATGGTGAGTGGATGGATGGATGTATGGATGGGTGGATGGATGTATGGATGGGTGGGTGGGTGAATGGATGGATGTATGGATGGATGGATAGATGGGTGGGTAGATACAGAGCATAGATAAACTGCCAAACTATTTTGAGAACTGATACACAAAATACAAAGCAAAGTATTCGTATTTCTTGGATTTCTCAGAAATAACGAGAGTTTACTATTTTTATCCCTCAAGTTCAGATGAAATAAGAGAGGTGGATGGATGGATGGACGGACGTATGGAAGGATGGATGGATGGGTGGGTGGGTGAATGGGTGGGTGGATGGATGGATGGATGGGTGGGTGAAAAGGAGGGTGGACGGGTGGGTGGATGGGTGGGTGAATAGGTGGATATGTGGATGTATGGATGGATGTATGGATGGGTGGGTGAATAGGTGGATGGGTGGGTGGATGGATGTATGGATGGATGGGTGGATGGGTGAATGGATGGGTGAATAAAGTAAGCCCAGCAGCACCTCACGGTACATTAATTAGAACTTTGGAAATAAGACATTAATTTCAAACCCTAAAAACATTACGTATGCATGTGTCAATAACGTCAATTTCTGTGCGTCACCTCTTTGAAGAATTTTCCACCATATGTTGTGAAGAACTCGGGTTTTTGGATGAGGTCAAGGCCATCTCCTCTGACAGTCACCGATGTTCCTCCACTGGAAAAAAAAAGTTAATAGACGGTTAATAGATAGATAGCATTTGAATAGCGCAAATCCCCGCTCAACAGCAAGCTCTATGCCCATCACAACCTATACTATTACCCCTGCAGACCTGAGAGCATTCTGAAACAACCTCAACTTCCAGAGAAGCATACAGTGCAAGTAGCCATTTATAGGCGCTAAAACACTAACATACTGACAAGATCTTTCGCTGTCTATGGCTGGGTACCAATTTTTTTAGAAAGCTTTTTACGGTACTTGCAACATATCATTATAAATGGCTTTCACCCCTGGCAGGGTATAGGTCACACACAAGCTCCTTCCATTTATCTCTGTCCAGGGCCATCTTTCCAAGCTCGTTCCAAGTGAACTTCATATTAAATTTTAAATCGTCAGAGAGTTTTTCTACATACATGCAGACTGCCTCTAATAGTCTGTCATAGACAGCAGTAAAGACACACACACACACACACTCCCACATACACACACACTCTTTCTCACACACACTCTCTAACACACACACACAGAGACACAAATACCCACACACACTCACACACCCTTCCCTCCACCCACCTCGCCCCCCCAACACACACAAACACTCTCCCCCCTCCCACCCCCCACCCCCACACACTAAAGGACTCACTGACCTCATGATTGTCTTCAGAGGTTCAATCATGGACACTGTGGGGTCAGGCATGTAGGAGAAGGTCTCCGCCACCTGTTTCCTGTAGCCTCCAAAGCTGACTTCTACGGTCACGTCGTCATTGGTCCCACACACTCACACACACACATACAGACATACACTCACACATACAGACATACACTCACACATACACACACAGACACACAAACACTCACAAACACCCCCCCCACACACACTCTCTCTCACACACACACACCACACACAGACACACACAAACACC